TTGTCCACATGGTTTTGGGCTGGGGTAGGTACTGCCCATTGCTCTGAAAGAGGAAGCTCAGTCCTCAGCCGTGTGGAGAGGAAGCTCCGAGGGATCAGTAGATCCTGAGACATCCTTCCATTACCTAGGAGCCAGAGTAACATATGCAGAGCTACAGAAAACACAAGAGCAAATCCCAGCATCTCCAGTAGGAGTCCCAGAAATCCTTTAGCCCGCTGCCCATGGCTCACGTCTGGAATGCTAGCTACAGTTGGAGGCTGAGATCTGAGGATCCCAGCTCAAAGCCAGCCCAGGCAGGAAAAGTCCATGCCATTCATCTCCATTTAACCAACAGAAAGCCGGAAATGGAGCTGTGTGTGGCTCAAGTGCTAGAACACTAGCCTCGTGCAAAAAAAAAAAGGAAACGGGACAGCTCCCAGGCCCCGAGTTCAAACCCCAGTACCAGTGCAACCACCCACAAGCCAAACAAACTAAGATCTTTTATTTTAATCCAAATGCCTAACGCCTCTATCTTTCGAGCCAGAAATTCAGAATTTTCTGCGTGTTTTCTATGCCTTAGCCACTGTATTCAGTGATGAGCATACAGGTGAAAATCTTTGCAACTTTTCAGCATTATGGGCAAGTTGCAGAATTCTTCTACTGGACAACTGGGAGGTTGGATGGTCATGTTCAAAGGGGAAAGACCCCAGGGATTTTCTTAAAGCTGTAGCAGCATTTTTCAAAGTGGGTCTGCTTTTGTGTGTCTGCCCAACCTGGCTTCCCTGACCCCCCTACCCCACCCCTGCTCTGAAAATACCATTCAAAGGTTTGAACAAGTCAGTCAACCAGAGACATAATAAATAACAGACTTCCCTAGAAATACTTTCTAATTAGGGTGAAGACAAGGTTGTGGTTGTTGGATGTGAGATTTAAAATCTTCCCAAATGTGATCCTAACCTTCCCACTGGCCAGTATGTCCTTCTTTCTCTCTGACTAGAGTCTTTCTTGCTCCAATGTCCCAATGCATTGGAGAGAGACCCTTTTCTTTGCATTTCTTCTTTTTCCTGGCTCAGTGAAATGTTTGTTCTTTGGACACTCTTAGAAAGTTATGGTTTTTTTTTTTTGTTTTTTTTTTTTAACAAAAGCAACCATGAAAGAGGGGAAAAATATCAATTTCTTGGGTTAATGGCAAACGTGGGGAAAAGGAAAACGTTACAAATACTATTGTATGGGTCAAACGAAAAGTTCAGTGGTTGCCTCCTGATAGAGCTCCACTTGATGCTGACATTATCCTTTGATGGGTCGCTTTCATTATTTTTGCCCACTTTTCAGCCTCTTACAGGACCTGTTTCGTTTTTCAATTAAGAGTCCTTGTGACTGAATGAAGCCAGCAGGGCAGCCCCTGAATGCAACACAATCCATACAGACCAAGTGGTATTGAGTGCGCGGAATTCTTTGCAAGGAGAGACAAGAGGGTTTTCCTACCTCTCCCTCACCCCCTACCCCCAACCCCAATTAGGTCACATAGAAGAAACAGCCTGGACCAAGTATCATTGATGGGCCTTCCCCCCCCCCCCCCCCCCCCCGTAGCTTGTTGATAATAGAATTCAAATTCAGTTACCTTCAGAGACTGCCTGCAAGCCTGCCTGGCAAAGTTTGGGCATTTAGACAGTGAGAGTAGCTGTGAATCGAGGGCTCGGATTTCATTTGAAGTTTCGGAAATGATTTGTTCTTGATGAACATGTACTGTTGTTCCCCGGGGTAAAAATCCCTCCTGTGTACTTGTGTGTTTGCACACATTTGCGGAGGAAACTGTAGGTTTGGTTTGTCCTGAGTACTGAATTTTGTTGTTGTTGTTGACATCGCAGGAGGAGGGCTGGATTCTATTGCTGTACTTTATAGATTTCCAGTGTTCCTGGCTCCCAAGTTCAAAGGAAAGTCTGAGTCATTATTACAAAATGGGTCTGTAGGAATTCAATCACCACGGAGAGTTTTTACCTGTGGTAGAAACCAGCCAGAATGGAAAGCCCGTGTGGGCTCAGTACAGGGGAAATAGTTATTGGATCCTTGAATCAAGTATTTATTTTTCATTAAACCACTTAGATAAGGTCTTATTAAAATGCCATGTATTATTTATCACATTCCTTATGAAAATGAGCTGAGGAGAACATTCCACTCTTTTCTTGGGATATTTTCCGTCTTTTCTAAGTGTCAAGGAGAAAGGAAAACAATGAAGGAAGCTAGTGAACCCTGTTTGGGTACAGCAAATGGCTGGCGTGGAAAGACTGAGCAAGGAAAAAGAAAACATGCAAAGCAAAAAAAATTTTTTTTTGGTCTTTAGTTCTCCAGAATGTTTTTGTTTGGCTTTGGGAATTGCGAATGAAAACAAAAATAAGCCAAAGATAGGGAGTAAGAAAAGACAGAGTCAATTTATGGGCAAATCAAAGCTAGTGTAATAAATGTGAATCCTAAAACATCGGAGAGACGAGAAATTTCCAAACTAACCCTTGCCATCTCTCTTGCTCAAATGCAGCTGAAGAGACTGGCCTCGACTAGTCTTCTAATTCCAATCTGTTAAAGCTGACGAGTTAAACCTGCTCCTCAATCCCTATTAAATTGGCGAGAGCTGTGTTTGGGGGAAAGCTGTGTTTGTAAGGTGAAAATCATAAAGGACAAAGGTCTGGGTTGGGAAGCTCAGGTCTTTTTGGTTGATGATGGCTTTTGAAATCAAGGTCAACAACAACAAACAAAAATGAAGTTGTGGAATCATTTGTTCCTTTTTTTCCCCCTAAAAGCCTTCGGATGGGCCTACCAAGTGAGCTATCTCTCCAGCAAGCTGAGAAGCGAAGGCAGGTCTTTATCTGCCCTGAGTTTCTCCTGTTGAGAGAATGAATGCAGATAGCCCTGGAAGCCTGTCTAGTCCTGGGTCCTGTCCTAAATTTCCCTCTCAGCCACTCTGAGGGTGCCAGCTGGTTTCATGTAAAGCTATCCTGTGGAATAAAAGAGCTTAACTTTTCTCCCCCCTCCCTTCCCAAAACATAAAAATTCCTCTCAGGGTAGCTTTGCCCTGTGGGATCCTGAGAGACCCTTCACAGGGTTTCTTCCATGGATCACGAGCACCAAATAAATAAACGAAAAGATGCTCAGACAAGCTGACCTCTTGCTCTGAAAACAAAACAAGGAAAATCCACTCATGTGGGTCAAAACACGTGTGTGTGTGTGTGTGTGTGTGTGTTTTAAAGGGGGCTACTACTATTCCTGATGAGGATTTTAATTGTTGGGGGAAGGGAGAAGCAATTCACCCTCTCTGGTGGGGAAGAAAAAGAGTTAAAGAGTCTTCCTATTTTCATATTTTTCTCTCGATGTGCAATTCGCACATCATGTTTTATTGCAATAAAGACTCCCGAAATCTTACTAATGAATAATTATGACTTCATAAAATAAAGGGGAGGGGAGACACGCCTGGTCTAGCAGCACAGTTAATTTGCCAAAAGAAGGCTGGCCAGGCGAGGTGCTGGTGGTGGGGGGGGGGGAAGAAATAAAATAAATAAACCATTGCAATTTGCTTGCTGCTGCGGCTGACAGTCCTCTGGCTAGCGGGCTGCGGGACCAGATGCATTGATCATTTGAGAAGAGCGGGGAATTCGGGCTGGGAGAAGAACCCCCCCCCCCCCCCCCCCCCCCCGCCTTGCATTCACCCAGCGCCCAGAGAGCTGGCTTGTTGGTGAACTGGCCGCCTTGGGGCTCCTGCTGCTGCTTCTTGGCTGGCCGTCTGGCCGGGCGGGCAGGGTGCATTCTCTCCACCCCCCCCCATGCCCCAGTGGGGTGGCCAGCCAAAGCAGGGCCAGCAGGGGGTGGGGGGGTATTCCCAGGGGGCCCTGGGGGTACTCAGAAAGCCCCCTCCCCCAGCATCAGATAAAGGGGGAAATCCCTTTCCCTGGTTTATTTGCACACGGAGTCCAGGGGGAAATCTCGGGGCTCCGGTCCCGGGTGGGCGGATGGGCAGGCGGGCAGCCGCATTCCTGGTCCAGCTTTCAAGGATGCTGGCCACGGGCGGCCCGGCGCGCCCCCGGCCCCGCGCGCATCCCTAGCAGATGCGATCGGAATTTTGTTGAGTCGCTTAAAAAAAAAAATTAAGAATAAAAAACAAAGGCAAAGGGGGTTTAGAAAACAACCACCACAAACAAACGCCCCACACAACACACAGTCCTACGGCTGGACCCATGTGACCAACCAGAAGAGGCACCCAGCACCAGAGCAAGGAGTGAGCCTCCCGTGAGTCAAAATCTCCCTCTCCTTCCCTCCCTCCTCCTCTCCCTCCCCTTCCTCAGCCCTCCCTCCTCCTTTCCTCTCCCCCTCCCTCTTTCTCTGTCTCCCTCAGCCCCCCCCCCCCATTCTCTCTCTCTCTCTCCTCTTTCCCATTAGCCTCACCGGCATTCCCTCCGCTACAGGAGAGTCTCTTCGCGTAGCTACTTTCACAGGAGTAACCTTTGCTCATTTATTCACCTTCACAGGGGCGGGGGTGGGGTGGGGGGAGACCTTCCACTTTAAGAGAGATTTAAATAAAGGAGAGAGAGAGAGGGGAAAAAAAAACCCGACAACAAAACCCCAGGCCCAACCAGGCAGCCAGAGGAGCTAAAGCGCTACAGCTGGGCAGGGAAGGGAAGACACCAACTAGTTTCCTGCCTCTCCCGGCAAGTCGCTTAGTTGGAGGCTGATAAACGCTTGGATCTAGCGAACCCGCAGGCAAGGCAAGCCAGGGAGGAGGGACTCCGGGGCGCGGTGGGGGGGAGGGAGGGAGGGAGGGAGAGAGAGAAAGAGAGAGAAGAGAGAGAGAGAGGAAAGAGAAAGACAGAGCCACCGGTGTTTGACTTCAGAGATAATTAGCCCAAATTAAAAGGAGAAGAACGTGGTCGCGTCGGGTGAGCGAGAGCGAGCGAGCCGGCGCCGGAGAGCACACACGGGCAAGGTGCTTGCATGCGAGCAGTGCCCACCCGTGTTCCGTGGGTGCCCGAGGCAGAATGCAGCATCCTCTGACGGGGGCCACCTGCGTGGCGCTCCCCAACGTGGGCGTGTGCCCCCAGCTTTCCTGTGCCTTGACTTTCATGTACTTGCATCAGGTAAGCGCGTGGCTGCTCTCCTGGAGGCTGCCTGCCGCCGGCTTGGCCATACTGGGTATGGGGGGCTCTCAGTCCTGGGTGCTGGGTGGTCGGTGGTCCGTGCGCTGTGCTGCTGCGGGGTCTTTTGGAGAGTCTGGGTAGGAGCGGGGTGGGGGGGCTGGGGGGGTCTCGTGCGTTGGGGCCAGCAGGATGGATGGGAACCCCTGTCCCTGCAGACCTGACGCCAAGCCCAGACCCGACCCTCCCCCTCTCTCTTCCCCCCCTCTGTTCTCTCTCTCTCTCTCTCTCTCTCCCCTTCTTCTCCCCCTCCCCCTCTCTCCCTCTCCCTCTCCCTCTCCCTCCCTCTCTCTCTCCCTCTCTCCCTCCCTCTCCCCCCCCCCCCCTCTCTCTCTCTCTCTCTCTCTCTCTCTCTCTCTGGTGGGGGTGGGGAGGAGTACACCTGTCTGAATACTTTGAAGGATGATTTCTTGAGCCTGCGTTACCCGGGAATTTGAAATGGAAAGCTGCCTGGCTTTTTTTTTGGGGGGGGGCAGGGGGGAAAGGGGAGAGGGGGTAGTGTATTTCATCTGGGGAGTGTCTTGAATCCGAGAATCCGTGGGTAATGAGACTTGGGGGTCTTGGCAGAAACATGCAGGTGCTTCTAGATTTTTTTTTTAAACGAAGCATGTGTGTGTGAGAGAGAGAGAGAAAAAGATTTTCCTTAAGTTTCCTTAATATATCTATCTATATATTCATGCCTACAGTCTGTAAGGGATGGGATTGTTTGTCTCAACTCCAGTCAAGGGCTTTGATGGTGTGTACTGGAAGATGCTGCCTTTGTTGGCTCAGGAGTGTTTGTTTTTTAATCCCCTAACACCTCCCTCCGCACCCCTCCCCTTTTCTGGTTTTACCAGGCATCCTTGACTGCTGGTCCCCAGTGTCTGTCCCTGGGAGTTTTCTTCCTCTGGGACTTCTGGCTCTCTTCTTCCTCCAATCCCCCCCCCCCCCCCGTGTTGGTGGTGGGGGTATAGGAGAGAGTTTGGGGCTGCCTTGTGGAGTGACAGGCCAGCTTCATGATTGAGCAGCAGCTGTGGTTCCCAAACTGGTAGGGATATCAGCCAGATGGAGCCCCCCCCCCCCATTTTTGGTCATTCTTAGGTCCTCATCTTGGTCTGTGAAGTTTCTGGACAATTGTAATTCACATTTTCTTTTTTTTTTTTTCTTCCTTGAGTCACTTTCTGGTATGGGGTGTGTGTGTGTGTGTGTGTGTGTGTGTGTGTGTGTGTGTGTGTGTGTGTGTGTGTGTGTGTGTGTGTGTGTGTGTGTGTGTGTGTGTGTGTGTGTGTGTGTGTGTGTGTGTGTGTGTGTGTGTGTGTGTTAAAGGAAGTTGTTTGCAAGAGGGAAGGGGCTGTGAGTTGGGGGGAAGGTCTCTTTCCCCACAGACTCCAGTTCCAATCTGTGTGGCAGGAATATGTGTCTTCATAAAATGTCACGATTCTGTTTGGAACATTTGGGTAATTTGTTATCAAGTTGGTTGCCTCCAGAAAATATTTCCCAACGCGTTATTTTTTTCCCCTCTCTTGTAAGTCTTTTTGAGAACAGCCCTTAAAAAAAAAAAACAAAAAAAAAAAAACTTGGGAAGAGCAAAATTGGTTTATCTTTTCAAATATGTCTTTCCTTGCATTTCTCACTTAGGGAATCTTGTCGGGAAAACGTTGCTCAGGAGCTTATTGATAACGTATTACGTGATTCGTCTGCACCTCCCATTTCTGAGTGTTTGCCTTGAATGTTGGTAAATGGATGTTACATCCATTCCCCTACCAGAAAAGACAGTGCGGGCATTTCTTCAGATGCTGAGCTTCGGAGGGATTGAAACAGATCATTCATACGCGTGGATCTTTTCCATCCCACATTTACTTCCTATTTATTAATTGGAACAGCGTGACCACCCAAGTTAAAGACTATCGGTACCCCAGTGATCTCTGTTTCTTTGTATGCTTTCTTCCCCCCCACAAAATTTCATCTGTGAGTTTGAGGGGCTAATCTGGCTTGATGTTTAGCTACAACTTAGGGAAGAGGTGGGTGGGTGGTGACTTTCAGTGAGAGATAAATCTTGAAATAGAAAGGGTGATGGTACAGGATCAAGCCCTAGACCCTTGGGTCAGGTAGCTGGTCCTCCTATCACACACACACACAGAAAACACCAGGCTCTGGAAAAGGAGGCTCAAAGGAAGCTTTGGCAGCCATAACCAATATTTAGAAGTGCCTAAATGAACATCCCAGTTCCCGTAGGAAGATAGATGGAAGGTGGGTTGTGCAATATGCTTTGGTGTGCACCCTGCCCTTGAAATGACTTAATGCTTTCAGTGAAAATGGTTATAATATGATGCTGTGAAATTATGTCCGAGAGAGGGAGGGGGGGGAAGAGGGAGGTGTATTTTGCTGAGCTATACTAAATACCTGGAGTACAGGGTGGCCGGGCATCTGCTGGTCTTATTTAGTATCAAGTTTTCTGGCCTTCATTCCTCCCCTTTCTCCGGACCTACCCTCACAAGAGGAGACTGGTCTCCGGGGCTATCTCTCTCTCTCTCTCTCTTTCTCTCGCTCGCTCGCTCTCTCTCTGGGTTTCTCTTCTTGATAGTTTGTGTCCGAGTTTCCTGTAACTGCTTTTATGTAGCTATATCCAGGCCATTGGTTGATTAAAATGGTGTAAACCGTTCACATTAATCTTTACAAAGTACCTACATGGACTCATCCTTTTCTGCCTCAGTATGAGCACTATAATTTTATTTGCTATTTCTTTTTAGCCATTACAGTATGGTAGTCTAGTCTGATGAACATGGAGTTAATGTGTGTGTGTGTGTGTGTATTTGGATGAATCAGTAGCACCTTTGCTAGAAAAAAATGTGTGATTTAGTGTGAGATATATTTTAAAACTCTCATTCTAATCGCCTTTCACAACTACCTTCTTTTGGAGCGCTAAACATTTTCTGAATGCAGGCAGGCTGACATTTCTTCACAGCCATGTATTTTTGTGGCTCGTAGCTTCGTAGAAGGGCTGTTTCTTATCCATGAATATTTCCAATCTTCAAGGAAATTCACTTCATATGCTTTCTTTGCCTGAGTATTAACAGCTAATCTTTCTTCTGAAAGTCCCCCAGATTTGTTCTTCAGGCAACTCTATAAAAAAAAAATCAATTGAGATGTCTTCACATGCAAGTCTACTCTGAATGACCAAGTGAAAGCCACTGCCCCAGACGGCTCAGGGCAAAGACAATATGCGTGTTTATAGTGTTTGATTTATTCTGTTTCGTTTATTCATACTTTCCAGGCGCTTTTTCTTTGGATAGCTGTTTTCCTGCAGTTGCAGTCTCTTCTAATTTCTTGTAGTTTTCTCTCTTGCTCTTTTTCTCTCTCCCTCTCTTCCATACTCTCATACTCTATCTTCCCCTCCCTTCCTTTCCTTCTCTCTCTCTTCTCCCTCCCTCTCCCCTCTCTCTTCTCTCTCCCTTCCCCTTCCTTTCCCCTCCTTCCCTCTTCCTTCCCTTCCCTCTGCCTTCCCTTCCCTGTGCCTCCATCTCCCTCTCCCTCCATCTTTCTTTCTCCCTCCATCTTTCTTTCTCCCCTCTCTCCTCTCCTCCCCTCCCTCCCTCCGTCTGTCTGTCTGTCTGTCTGAGATGCTCCTGGCATTGAAATGGCAGCACCAGATGTGAAGTCTGATGATGTCATCACAAGCTTTTCTACACACACGCACCCAGACACCCATCATACATCGCATGCACCCTGTCCCCCACTTCGGATGGGAGGGACCAGGGGCCCTAGGAGCAGCTTGGCGTTCATCTTGCTGTCCAGGGAAAGTTGCTCCCTCAGCCTCAGATCTATCTTGAAGCACTGTGCTGGCTTTCTTCCATGGCTTCTTTGATGAAATCATCTCCCCACGACCCAACTTCAAACCTGCTTCTCCCCGGCAGGGCATCTTCCTAGAGCCCTGCCGTGAATATGTACATTGACATTCTTGCTTAGAGGGAAAACTGCATACAGACCCCCACATTTGGGGACGTACTACTGATGAGGCCTACAGAGCATCTATTTTGTTTTCTTTGTACAGAATGGTAGAAACCACACACACACTCACAAACTCACACTCAAGCTCAAACACACCAAACCCACAAGAATCCAGAGCTTTCCTCTGCAAAGAGGCCAGAGTCAAATCATGGAGCCCTCATCTTGTGGTTAGGTACTGCAAGGCCCGGACGGGCAGAGGTTTGCCGCCTGATTCCCAATGAAACAGCCAGAGCTGTTTGACGCTGAGTTCTGTCTCCCCAAAGAAACATCGGGGAGCTTATGAACTTACTTTTCCCTGTTCCTCAACATCCCTCAGTGTCTCCCTGTTCTGTTCCAAGAACGCTTCAGGTCTGTCGAGCCCTATTCGCTCAGAATCCATTCATCTGCCTAAATTTAACAACAAGTCAAATACTTTAAAATCCACATTAAAGGGGGGGGGCAGGGAGAGACGGAGGGGCTTTTAAACTAGGGCATGCCACTGTCAATATCTGAAGATTGGTCATTTTTTCCCCACTTAATGATGATCCATGCGGTTTGTTTTAAATAGTGAAGTGGTTTGTACAAAGGGTAATTCCTGGTAAATGAAGCCATTGCTCACCCCGGACAGACATCTTCAGATCGAAAGCGATTGAGCTGAAGCCTGCACATCAACCCTTTCTTGTCTTTAATTAGGAAGTGGTTCTCAAGGTAGAATCACCCAGAAAGATGGGTTTCTGGCACTGAGCTGGGAGGAGAGGAGGGGAGGGGTGGGGGGAGGAGATGCCAGCCCTGGTTATGCATGGGGGGAGCGTTGGGTGGGTGGTGATGGATTATGAGTGAGTGCATGGAAAAGTTAAGTCCTTCTGCTTCAGTCCCTTTGCCTGGTGTGGCTCAAGTCTGAGATAATTTACGGAGGAGGGGGGAAATGGAAGAGGGGGGACAAATGGCATTTTATGGCTGCCTCTCTCCTTGGCTTA